TGCAAAAGGAGGAGGGAGTTTAGACATACTCAGGTAACCTACTGGAGTTTCCAAGGGTTTGAAACAGAAGTGATCACCTTTCCAAGTAAATGCCTGTGTGCTCAGGCAAAAAAGCAAGATAAGAAAAAAGTAACAGAAGGATCTAAGAGTGGAGGAAGGGAAAGGATGAAAAGATCGTAGTCCCCAACAAAATGATAACACCATTGCCAAACAGTATTCCCTGGATGGTTCTAACTACTCTAACCCTTACCCTGACGTTTCTAGTTATCTTAAAAAAGCACAGATTGGGGCGCCTGGGTGGCTCAGTCGGTTAAGCGTCCGACTTCGGCTCAGGTCATGATCTCGCGGTCCGTGAGTTCGAGCCCTGCGTCAGGCTCTGTGCTGACAGCTCAGAGCCTGGAGCCTGTTTCAGATTCTGTGTCTCCCTCTCTCTCTGACCCTCCCCTGTTCATGCTCTGTCTCTCTCTGTCCTCAAAAATAAAAAGTAAACGTTAAAAAAAAAAAATTAAAAAAAAATAAAAAAGCACAGATTACCTTCCAAAGCTCCAGAGTCCCTACAGTAGAGGCATCTACTCATTTTTTAAAAATATTTTTTAATGTTTATTTTTGAGAGAGACAGAGTATGAGCAGGGAAGGGACTGAGAGAGGGAGACACAGAATCTGAAGCAGGCTCCAGGCTCTGAGCTGTCAGCACAGAGCCCAACACGGGGCTTGAACCCACAAATCATGAGATCATGACCTGAGCTGAAGTTGGATGCCTAACCAACTGAGCCACCCAGGCATCTCAACTCATTTTTAATAAAAAAGGATGCAGGAAGAGTTTTGTAGAACTCATGAAGTAAATAGAGGGGCACCTGGGTGGCTCAGTCAGTTGAACGTCCAACTTTGACTCAAGTCATGACAATTCATGAGTTCAAGCCCTGCATTGGGCTCTGTGCTGACAGCTCGGAGCCTGAAGCCTGCTTCAGATTCTGTGTCTCCTTCTCTCTCTACCCCTCCCCGACTTGTGCTCTGTCTCTATAAAAAATAAATAAAAAATAAAAATAAATTAAATAAATAAATAAAAAGAACTCATGAAGTAAATAGAAAGGGTGTTACTAATGAGGGTGTTACTTCTGCTTCCAAATGTAGCTCAAGGACTAGCAGATCAAAAGCTTTAGAGTGAACAGATCAGCTAGAGTTCAGGCACCTGGCAAACTAACACTGAAGGAGAAATCAACTGCCAATTTTAGTGGAATTCATCAGATTATGTAAAAGTAGCTGAGCTGCCTGGGCTGGGGAGGTTGGGTGTGGCAAACTCACATGTCAGTGTAGCCAGCCTATGGCAGGGTAACATGTATGCACAAGGACCCAATGGGCCCAGAAGCTGGCCTACCAGGAATAAAAGGGGTCAACTGGGCATACTTCCAGTGTGCTTGCCTTTCCTTGATTGGGGGCCAGCCAATCATGCAGGGCTTCCTAGCAACCCCCATTTTCCATCTCCTCATCCCAGGGCACTTGGTTATATAACAAGCATTTTGTGGCGGTCTCAGTGGGTAGACACATAGGCCGTTTCCTTTGTAAAACTACCTTTGTGCTCCAAACACGCCAAAGTTTTAACCACCTCCCTCTCATCTCATTTGGTTTCCTACCTACTGCTGTAATTAGACCACAGAAAATGAGACGAATTTTTAAACTATGAAACATCAGAAAGCTGAGAGATAAGGAGAAGCCTGGGATGTAAGACAGATACACAGAAAAGGTGGCCAGAGAGATTAGGAAAAAGCAGAGAAAAATAAAGAAAATTACATCAAAAAATACTGTTTGACAGGAAGACTGGGATACTCCAGAACGAGCTGGCTCACATTTTCATGTTTAAAGTCCTTGCCTAGAAAATTGTTCTAAGAGCAAAATATTTGTTCATTTTTTCCCCAAAGCTAAAATACAATTTATGGCATATATATATCTAACACCCCAAGATTAAAAGGAATAGAAATGTAGCTTCCCAAAGACTGAATGCAAATTGACAAAATAAGTATCTTCCCCAACGACTATAAAAATTACTAGTGTAGGGGTGCCTGGGTGACTCAGCTGGTGAAGCCTCCAACTTTGGATCAGGTCATGATCTCACAGTTCATGAGTTCGAGCATCATATCAGGCTTACTGTTGTCAATGTGGAGCCCGCTTTGGATCTTCTGTCTTTCCTCTCTCTGCCCCTCCCCTACTCACATTCTCTCTCTCAAAAATAAACATTAAAAAATATACACATTCCTTAAAAACAAAATCACTACTGTAATACTTGTCCCCAACCTGGCACCTTCCACCCAGGAAAAAAGTATGTGTGAACTGCCATTCACCTACAAAAAGAGAATCTTAAAAGAAATATGGGGAGGGGTGCCTGGGTGGCTCAGTGGGTTAAGTGAGCGCTGGGCTTTAGCTCAGATCATGATCTCATGGTTCATAGCTCGAGCCCCGCATCAGGCTCTGTGTTGACAGCTCAGACACTGGAGCCTGCTTCAGATTCTGTGTCTTTCTCTCTCTGCCCCTCGCCTACTCACACTATGTCTCCCTCTCTCTCTCCTTCTCAAGTAAATATTTTTTTAAAAAAAGGGAGAGAGGAAAAAAAAGGGAAACAGGGATGTGAAAACAGATTCCTAAAGCAAACTCTCAATCATTCAAAATAAATAAACAAATCACCAAAAAGCAAAACCAAAAGGGTAAAAATTTCCTTACAATGACTTCCAATTATAATAGCAAACACATGGGGCGCCTGGGTGGCGCAGTCGGTTAAGCGTCCGACTTCAGCCAGGTCACGATCTCGCGGTCCGTGAGTTCGAGCCCCGCGTCAGGCTCTGGGCTGATGGCTCGGAGCCTGGAGCCTGTTTCCGATTCTGTGTCTCCCTCTCTCTCTGCCCCTCCCCCGTTCATGCTCTGTCTCTCTCTGTCCCAAAAATAAAAATAAACGTTGAAAAAAAAAAAAAAAAGAGAAGAAAAAAAGTAATAGCAAACACATAATGCCTACCTATGTTTTATTTATTTATTTTAAGAGTGAGTATGTATGAGAGTAAGCAGGGAGGTGACAGGGTGCTGTCACCACAGAGCCCAAGGCGGGGCTCAATCATCAAGAGTTGGAGGCTTAACTGACTGAGCCACCCAGACAGCCCCAAAGCAGCTAATTTCTTTAAAAAAAAATCAAATTTTTGCGTTTGTGTTATTTGCACTTTAGGAACAGGGGAGGTTAGGAGAGCTAAAGCTGAGCCTTTGGAAATTTGTTTCATCATCAAATAACAGCTGCCCTTTGACATCCTTCAATAATACAAACATCTCAATCACCCTGGCTAACAGACCCATCTAAATCTACCAAAATAAATTAAAGACTTACAGAGAAAGGTCAGAAAAAGGGTGAAGGAATCTGTAAGACTTTTCCCAAATTCAGCATTTCATCTCACTAGCTAATTCACTACTGAGTCTGTAAAGACATTTATTTTGTGCTTCTAATATAAAGGCAGAGATATGTAAGGTCTATATATAAGGTCATTAGACATCTCAACCCTCTCACAGACATGCCACTGGGTCTGAAATAGGAAAGAGCTGGGAATGAGCAGCCACAGAAAAAAATAATATAGTGTATCTTACTATCCAGTACTTAATGGAGTATCTTTAGGAAACAGCTTCCACCCAAGGACAGGATTGGTATGCACAAACACAGAATGAAGTAATGGGGCTGAGACCTAAGACCAGATCCTTTTAAAAGACACACAATCCATCTTAAGCCTGCAACTTCTTGATTACACAGCTTCTGACAGCATCTTGGTCCTCATTTATTATGGTCTGCCATCCAACCACCCACACCTAAAACTCTGCTAAGAACTAGATCATCTTTCATTTACCCTCTCAGTCCCCAAGAACCCCACTAATAAACCCAATCAAATAAAGATTCTTAACTCGAAAATTAATGCAACAGGTGTTTATTTTTCCAGAGGAAGTAGTAAACAATCTAGTGACATAAAGCAATGAGCACCACACTCGAAAGGTGTGTTTTGCACTCCTCTCTTCCGTTCAGTAATTATGTGATTCAAGAAACGTAATTTAAATGTCCTAAGCTTCCCTTACTTGTGAAATAAAGCTACCACCTTATTGGCTTTAAGGTGGAAGCCCAACTCATATAATCTCTTAATATCTCTTTCCTACAATTCTTAACTTACTTGATTTACTTAGTTTTTAAGTTGATTTGTTTATTTTGAGAGTGTGTGAGCAGGGGAAGGGCAGGGGGTGGGTGAGAGAGAATCCCAAGCAGGCTTCACACTGTCAGTTAGGAGCCTGACTTGGGGCTCAAACCCATAAACCGTGAGATCATGACTTGAGCCGAAACCAAGAGTCAGATCCCTAATTGACTGAGCCACCCAGGCTCCCCCATACAATTCTTTGATAATTCAACTCAACAAGCATTTGTTTCTCCAAACTGTTTTACACTGGGGAGAGAAAATGATGAAGCAAGCCAGAAAATCAAAAGACTTACAACCAGTGGCAAGGTAAGACTAAAGAACTATTGGCCTAAGTATGATAGTAAGACATTCTTTATTACAGCCATTCTAAATCTCGTGATGTAGCATTCAGAACCAATCAATACAGCTCCTCTACACCCAGTTCATTTCCACTTGTATGTTTTTGCTTATGCTGTAACCTTCCTCTAAACCTGTTATACTTTTACATCTCTTGCTTGCTTCTCCAAGATCCCAAATCTGAATTTGTCTTTCCATTAGCCTTGTCCTCTGCCAATCCCTCTCTCGGATTTCTATTTATCATGCACTACATTCCTGCTTCCCAACCACGTTATAACTTGATTTTCCCTTTGGGTTCCTTAAGTCTTGGGGAGAGAATTCAGGCTGTGTATAAACAAACTTCAGACAGGTTTTGGGAGAAACTTCATCTTTAAGATAAAAAAAAACTAAAGGGCTGAAAAGGGAGAGAATAACCACCGCACTTCCCAAGACAGCTGGTCTAGGCACGATTCTGGTTACCTGTTTAGGGTCCTGTATGCACCTTCCACATTTCCTTCCTGTACCATCACAGTCCTGGCAATGAACTTCAGATGTTTTGCCATCACCTTGGGGTTTAAATCCTCACTCTGCAGGATCTAAAGGACAGTGTTGAAAGGGGGAGGAAATTACAGAGACCAGGTTAAAACAACAAAAACACAGAATGCCCGCTCTATCTAGTGGCTTACTCAGGATCTGGAAAAGCAACGTCCTCATATCTTAGAGAGTATACGTGAATCGTTATAAAGCCTGCCTAGTTCTCTGTGGCAATACACACCCTAGCCTACGGAAGAGGTGGCAGCAGGGGGGCACCACGGAGTTGTCGTGGCACAGGAGGACGGGGAGGCGCCGCAGCGTACTCCGTTATCGTTCACGTTCCCAGGAGTGTTGGGGCTGAGGGCTGGGAACGGAATCTTTCTCGGTCTTTATGAAGAGGGGCAACCACGCGCAAGCCTCCCTTCCCGCCACACCCGCCCTGCTTTCCCCACTGCCAGCCCCCGTTCCTCACCCCACGCCCTCCGGAACCAGCCTCCAGGAACCTGGCTCGCGGCCGGAAGCGGAAATACGTAATCTCCTGCGCCGCGCGAAGAAGTTAGCTGGAGGCGGGGGGGTGAGGAGGGGAGGTAGAAGAAAACACCTGTGTGGAAACCATGGCAATATTGCTTCCAGCCGGAGTCGACGGATTCTCCACGCCCCCTCACGCCTCCTGCCGGACTCCCAACGCCTCTACTCCGGACGCCACACCGGACAAAGCAAAATATTCGTTGCCTTAAAGTCCCCCCAAAACTGGTTCCTCGCCTTCTCCTCCCTCCATGTCTGAGGTCAGCGCGATTCCGTACCCCTAAATCCTATCAAATCTGTAACAGATATTTCCAGATTTCTTTTTCTGGAAGAAAAATGAGAGAAATAAGCAAAGCTTCCTGAACACGCTTCCTGTTTTCTCAAAGGACACAGATTCTTTGAGATCTGCTCTTCGGGAAAAACAGCTTCAAACCCCTCATCTGCTTAAAAACGAAGGAAAATAAATGAACAAACCACGAGTTGCCTATGAAATCATCTGCCCAGGCATTTCACGAAATAAAGTGAAATTACGAAATAAGGAATTGGGAAACACCTGCAGGTTTTAGAATCGAAGTCGTCCCCTCCC